GTATCTACACAAAGATTTGTACACAGGTGTTCACATCAGCATTACTCATAATAGCCTCAGACTGGAAACAGCTCAAATGCCCACTAGCAGGTGAACTGATGAACAAACTGTGACAAAGTCACATACTGGAAGGCTACTCAGCAATGAAACTTAAAGGAACCACTGAAAAGAAATGCAGTAACATGGACGTAACATCTCAAAAGCACTGTGTTGAGCCAAAGAAGCCAGACAAAAGACTATATATGCCGGGGTCCCACAGAACGCATAAAACTAAACTTGATGACAGGAGGACAGCAGGGGTCGTTGGGGGTCTGAGCTCTACAGGCCAGGGGAAGGCACAAAGGAGCTTCTTGCAGAGACAGGGATCTTCTGTACCTAAGTATCTGTAATTGGCACAGTGAATCTGCACACTGAAGTTGATCTGAGGTGGTATATACATACAATGGAACACTACTCAGCCACAAAAAAGAATGAAATAATGCCATTTACAGCAACACAGATGGACCTAGAGATTATTATACTAAGTGAAGTAAGTCAGGTAAAGAAAGACAAATATCATATATCACTTATATGTGGAATCTTAAAAAAAAAGATAGAAATTTTATTTACAAACCAGAAACAGCAAGTAAACTATGGCTACCAAAGGGAAAAGGCGGGGAGGGATAAATTAGGAGTTTAGGATTAACACATATACACTACTATATATAAAACAGATTAACAACAAGAACCTACTGTATAGCACAGGAAACTATATTCAATTTCTTGTCATAAGCTATAGAGGAAAAGAACCTGAAAAAAGTGTGTGTGTGTATATATATATATATAAATTTATATATATGTGTGTGTGTGTATATATATATATATATAAATTTAAAAATAATATTAAGTTGATCTGAAAATCCCGCTAGGCACAGGTACTGTGAAATGGCACAAAGCAAGCTTAAAACAAGACAGCTAAAGCTAGAGACTGGGTTATAAATATTCATAAAGAATATTCATAAACAAGGCAGAATTAATTTAAGGTTGAAGAGGTTTTCTTCATACCTTTGGAGCTATGAAGACAATCACCTTGGGAAAAGGGACTGGGCTAAGTCTTAAAAAAAAAAAATTGGTGCCTATTGGAAGGTTAAAAAATGATACACAGTAGCTCTCACTGATTATGATGTTTTTGAAGAACTCTTTCAGAAGAGGAGCTTTTTTTAGGGTGAGCAGTCAGTGCACTGTCTCATTCCCTTTTGAATTATGAGAGGGAGGCCACAGCCTATAGAATTCGAGGCTGGCAAATGCTTTCAAAAAAAAGGGGGGGGGGGAATTAATGGCTTTCCATGTTAAATAATACCTTTTACAGACCTTCAGAAACACATCACCTCACAATGAAGCAAATTCTATTGAAATTTTACATTTGAATACTGAAATCTATCTAACTGGAAGAGGTCTAACATGGGTCCCAGATCTCCTATAGAAAAGTACAAACTTGCAAGACATGCTTAGCAGCACACTGCGTTACTTACCTCTATGTTAATTTAAATTTCCCCAAACCTGTTATAATAGGTACATTACACTTACGTAAATGAAGCTCAGAGAGGTGACATACTGTCCCCAAACTACCATGACAGAACTGTGATTCAAAACCAGATTATTTTAAGTCTAAAATCCATGCTGCAGTGCCTCACAAGGAGAACTCCATCTCTCTGACAGGTACTGTAGAAACTTGGAAGCATGACAGTGTAATTTTTCAAAACGCCATTTACCTTCAGGGGACGCAGAGCACCACAAAATTTTGTCCACCAGCTGTTTTCAATGAATTCTAAGTGCCTCTCTCTTTTCCTAAGTGTTCGTAACCTTTCTTCAAATTGTTTTAAGGCGCGTTTATCCCTTGCTGCCAAAGGTCGACCATCTTTGCTCTGCAAACACCAGAACAAAATAAAACAACTGTTTACCATTAAGGTGTTAATAAAGTACCCATCCAATTTAGCAGAGCAGGCAACAAAAACTTTTGGAGGTTGGATTTGGCTCCTTAGGCAAATTCACAAATTGAAAAAAAAAAAAAAGATACTTACTATGTGATGATACACATCTCTGAACCAAAGTCAGACACATCAAAATACTATGTGGATGTGCGTGCATTTAATACTGAACTTCCTCTTGATCCCTACTTTCCAAATATTGTATATGGTAAAGATACAGGAGACAGATAAATATTTTTAATAACACCTTTTTTA